CCCCCCATTACTGTTAATAATTATAAAGGCAGAAGTTTTCCACAGGCACGGCAAGGGGGAATGAGGAAGCAAAGTTTAGCTGGATGACCTTGCATTCTGAGGGACATTTTGTCCACGGGGGAGCAAAAAGACTGAGAGGTACAATTTTTTTTGCTCAATGCAAAGGAAAAGAAAATAAAGCAAGAATATACCGAGAAGACAAGCCAGGAGGCAGTAAAACAAAAATACAGGGGAAACGCGAGGCGACATGGACACAGATGATGTTTTCTGCGATGGATTAACCCCAGCCATTGTTCTCCTCCATTTTTCCAGACCAGGATAAGCAGGACGACGCAGATAAAGACGGGCACAGCGTCTTCCCTGCCGTGTTATTGAGGACCACCCCACCCCCAAAAAAAAAGGGTGTATGACACCCTACCCCCCCGTTCCCCCCCCAGCGCAGGGCTGGCTGCCCCGGCGGGGGAAGGGCAGCCGGGGTTTGGGATCAGAGCATCGACAACGCCTTCCCGCAGCATCACCGAACCCAGCCCGGGCGAGGAGAAGAACAAAGGCGGGGCCGGCGCTGCCCCGCCGGGAGCCACCGCGGGAGCACTCACGGGGACTCTGTCCGGGTACTTCTTGCGGATCTTCTCCCCCTCCTTTTTCCTGTACTCGAACGGGTGGTCCTCCTTGTACTGGAACTTCATGGTGCCGGGCTGTGCCTGCGCTCCGAGCGCTGCGGCGGCTCCTGCCCCCTCCCTGCCCCGCCTTCCCTCTGACGTCACGGGGAGGGGCAATGTCACCGTGACGTCACGGGGAGGGGCAGTGCCGCCGTGACGTCACGGGGAGGAGCTCCCCCCCGCTGCGGCCGGGCCGTGCCGCTCGGAGCTGTGACGTCACTGGGGAGGTGCCCCACAGAGCTCTGTGACCCCCCCCTTTGCCGCCTTGACGTCACGGAGATGCCCCTCTGCTGCTGTGATGTCACAGAGAGGCCCCACCCCCTTTGCCTCTGTGACATCACAGGGAGGTCCCCTTCTGCCAGTGTGATGTCACAAGGAGGGGCCCCGCTGTGCCGCGCATTGCTGTGACGTCACAGGGATGGTGCCCCTTTTTTGCCTCTGTGATGTCACAAGGAGGTCCCCTTTGCCACTGTGATGTCATGGGGAGGTGCCCCACTGCGTCTGTGACATCACGGGGGAGATCCCCTTTTGCCACTGTGACGTCACGGAGGGTTCCCCCTTTGCTGCTGTGACGTCACAGGGAGGTGTCCCCACTGCCCGTGTCTGTCTGTCCCAGGACAGATGGACATTCCCCCACGGCTGCCAGGAGGTGTCAAAGGATCCATCAGAAGGCGCTGGTTTTGTGCAGTCCAGCAGGGAACAGCCTAAGACGGAAGGAATCCCGGGGTTCTGACCCATGGAAAATTCTGGTTTTGTGGCATTGCCACCTTTCCATGATTCCTGTGTTTGGCCTCCTTGCTTCCCTAACTGCTGGCAGCACAGCCGAGTGTGTTCGAGGTCTGTGGTGATGATGTAGGTTTTGTCCGCAAGGGCAAAAGAGAGGAACTTTTCCAGCCTGTTTCATCCAGGCCACCAACATGTCCTGGCAATTTTAACAAACTGACCCCAAGCTCCCATAAATGGCTGTTTCCATCCCCAGGACTGCACACGAGGCAGCTGAGCCTTGCTCGGTTTGAATTGCTGGTGACAAACCAGGGAGAAGCTTCGGGGTTCTT